GAACTTAATCATTCTGTTTTTGTTCTTACTCACCGATATGTCATCAAGGAACTTAATCATTCTGTTTTTGTTCTTACTCACCGATATGTCATCAAGGAACTTAATCATTCTGTTTTTGTTCTTCAAAATGAAAGGGTTGATCACTTCCATCCAAGGCTCCTGTCACAAAAAATTAAATCATATTTTTAAAAAAAAGTTCACAAGAGTTGAAGCTAACAGTTTATTACTGTTTGTTTGTTTTTGAATTTCGTGCAAAGCTACACGAGGGTTATCTGCCCTACCCATCCCTAATTTAGCAGTGAAAGACTAGAGGGAAGGCAGCTAGTCATCACAGCTTACCACCAACTCTTGGGCTACTCTTTTACCAATGAATAATGGGAATGACCATCACATTACAATGCCCCCACGGTTGAAAGGATGAGCATGTTTGGTGCGACGGGGATTTGAACCCACAACCCTTAGATTGTGAGTCGAGCGCCCTAACCACCTGGCCATGCTGGGCCTAGGTTATTACTGAAAAAAGAAAATAAATTAAAAGATTGTTTTCTCCTTTTTTATTTAAAATTATTACTAGATGATGATGAAATTATCTCTTGTGATAACAATTTTACACAAATAAAAAATTGGAGGAGGAGGATAATTTTGAAACAATTCCAATTCCTCTAGTCATGTTATTCAACCAATGAAACAATTACAATTCCTCTGGTCATGTTATTCAACCAATGAAACAATTCCAATTCCTCTGGTCATGTTATTCAACCAATGAAATAATTCCAATTCTCTGGTCATGTTATTCAACCAATGAAACAATTCCAATTCCTCTGGTCATGTTATTCAACCAATGAAATAAAACAATTTCTCATTTTAATATTAGTAGTAACTTTTTATAAATTTACAATGCTACTAACATATCTTGTAAGTTAACTTTCAGAATGTTACAAAAAAAAGTTTCAATATTGTGTAACCAACATACATTAATTATTTAAAAAAAAAAGAGCATGAAATTCATATCACAGCTCATCTCTCAGCTTTTTAGGATGCTGCTACTTTCAAAGTAAACATTAAAAACCCTCTTTCATTTCAGTTTTAGTAATGCTCTACTAACCTTAGCACCAAATTCTACAAGGTTGGCTAGGTTCTGTAGACACTTGGCTACCAGTATAAGACTACGTGCAGCTGTCTCTGAAGGAGTATCTTAACAGAATAAAAAATAAAAAGTTATAACAAAAGATATTGTAAATTATCAGTGTTTGTGTACAAGTTAAAAATCCACTAAATGAATAAAATGAAATGTTTATTAGCACAAACTAAAACATCTTGATATTAAGACCATCAATGGTTTTCAGTTAAAAACCATTCTAAATGTACCGACATTTACACTTCTTTATTCACAAGAGGTAATACCAAAATATGTTTTAACCGTGTACTAAAAAATGTTCCAATTCATTTTAATTAAATGATTTTAAAACTAATATACACTATCCTATCAAAAACCATGGGACACGGGGTAGTCATGAATAAAACATGCCTTTATTCCAAGAAATTAATACCGTGTTGGCCCACTTTTGGCCTTAATGACTGCTTCCATGTGTCGTGGAAGACTATCTATTAATTTATGGTAGAAAGCTGGTGGTACTGTGCTCCACTCCTCCTTTAAAGCATTAGTAAGCTCCACTACTGAAGAGGGACATCTTGGTCTTGCCCTAATTCTGCATTCCAGTTCATCCCAAAGATGTTCTATTTGGTTGAGGTCAGGGCTCTGTGCAGGCCACTGCAATGTTCCGATGGTATTCTCTTCAAACCACTCATTCACAATCCTTGCTTAATGACATGGAACGTTATCATGTTGGAAGGTGTAAGGGCCGGTACCATAAAATTACCACAGTGCAGGACATACAGAATTGTTCAGAACATCAAAGTAGCATTCAGCATTTTATGCCTACCTCATCATTTCTTGGGCTCATTGTCATCTGTGGACTTCCATTTCTTCAGTACGTTGCCAACTGTCAACCTGGGAATTTTTAACTGTTGTGCAATAGCACATAAAGACATTTTCCCCATATGACTGCCAACTATCTTTCCCCTCTGGAACACTGTTAGCTCTTTCCATGTACTCATCGTTCGGTGTACAAGCTCAAAATGACGTCTAGGCGAACTGCTGATCACCTTTATAGACCAAACTATTTGTATATTTTTGTCATCACACCCACTTTCCTGCAATCAGTGGTGTGTCCCATGACTTTTGGTAGAATAGTGTATTTTCCAATTATATACTGGAATAGTAAGTAATCCATACTCAAAATGACATCTAGGCGAACGGCTGATCACCTTTATAGACCAAACTATTTGTATATTTTTGTCATCACACCCACTTTCCTGCAATCAGTGGTGTGTCCCATGACTTTTGGTAGAATAGTGTATTTTCCAATTATATACTGGAATAGTAAGTAATCCATACACATATGGAAAAATATTTTTCTCTGCAAGCACAAATTCTACATTTTTATGAAACAAGTTTAACTAACCTATGGTGAAATTATGACATTCCCAAATATGAGTTAATATAAAATCTCAGAAACAGTTTATCTTACTGTTTACCAAACAAAACTATTTTGATGTACAATTTTTTTATACACACACTTTTCTACTCCTTTATAGAGAATGAATAAAAAGGTGAGTAAACAAAACCAAAGCCTAAAGAAAGTTGTTTATCACACATATAGAGACATGAGAATCTATACAATCACCGGATATTATTCTTTCTCAGTGACCTAGCTGGGTTATTGAGAGAGGAAACTTCAAACCTGCAGTTCTTAGCCGATCATTGTACCAGATTTGTAGTTCAATGGGAGTAAATATGTTTTTTTTTATCAAAACTCCATTCTTTCCTTCATATTTAATAAACTATAAAATGCTCAATTTTGATGGTTGCAGAAACAAAGATATTTAAACTTTGTTGATAAGAAAATTCCATGGAATGCTTTAGGTATAAAAATGCTACAACATCAATAATTATATTTGCATTCTCATGTTCTTCTAAAGGTTTTTTTTTTTCTGGAGGCTCCCAAAACTGACACGAACACAACAGACCAGGGTGATTTTGCTTGATTTTTCTTCACACTATTGAATACAAACATAGCATTACATCTATACTTACAATAACTTAGTGAGAACACCTACCATTAATTAGGTTGAACTGTCTTGGGTTCAGAATGGCTGGACAGAGCAATCGTAAAAAAACAAAACAACTGAAAGAGGTAGAATCAATCACCGTTAAATAAAAAAAAAACAGATATCCATGGAAACAGAATTAAATAACCATTAAATAAAAAAAAACATAGATATCCATGGTAACAGAACTAAATAAAGCATTAACAAATAATACAATTAACACTAATTTAACATACTTATTGAAAGCAGAATCAATCAACATAATACTTCATATATTGTAATTACAAGTAAACTATCATAAACTGTACATTTTGATTTTCATCCTATGTTTGATTCATTTATATATCAAAGTAAAGCATTTATAAAATCATTTCATATGTCTTTATACGTAATAATGGCATGTGAATCACTATCAGCCTAAAATGTTCCTTTAAATGTTTTTTTTGTCTTGGGATATTCAGTGCTACAAGGGCTATCTGTACTAACCATCCCTAATTTTTAACAGACAGAATAGAAGGAAGGCACCTAGTTAACAGCATCTACAGTTTAACTCTTAGGTTACTCTTATTGAAGAGTGAGATTTCATCACCACTCTTATTACATATCCATAGCCCCAGCGTGCAGTTTTGTTGTATTGGGAAATGAACTATGGACCCTCAGGTTCACAGAACGGCATACTAACTACTAGGCCAAATCTGGCCCATTCTTGAAAAGAAAAGTGTAAGAAATATAAATTCAAATACTAAATACTGTAGCTTTAGTAATTAAAAGTTACATCTGAGCAATCAATATGAATCAATGGTTGTACAACAACTGAAATAAACTATAAATTTCTATGTGTAATGCCATTCAGAAAATCTTACCTTACGACACGAGTTTTAACCAATGGATCATTCGGCCATTTGGCCATTACACTTTTCTGTAAACAGCTACAAATATATCGGAGTGTCCTAGTATTCAGAAAATAAAACATTACTTAAACAAACAGGTATGTTCTGAGTTTTTTATTGCCTAAAAAGAGAAACACAATAGATGTACTCTGAAGTTTCTAGTGTTCAAAAAGTAAAACATTGCATATGTAAAACTGATACAGTTTTTACAAGTTTAATCTAAGTATTCTATCATCGAGAATGTATTATAAAACAATGATGATAAAGGTTACCTTATTCTGAACAACACATAAAACGAAAATCACTTGAATGCCTCAATATCATAGCATTAGAAAACAACAAAAAAAATTATATTTAATGTCTTTTTATGAAAACAATATGACAAGTCATTCTGAGTAACAAACCCCTTTCACAAAAAACAAGGCTTAATTTCCAGAAGCTTTCAATTGACCAAATAAAACTTTCAGTATACAAATAAACTAAAATTTAAATCCACTTTCTCACCTAAACCTAACTCTGCTTCTTGTTAAAAATAATTATTTTTACGATTGATAAACTGCAAAACAGTTTGAATTACAATTTCAAAGCATAAAACTTAAGTTAAAAAAATAGAAATAGAGAAATGGTTGCCTACTTTGGACAAGAATCCACTGCAGCAAAGATTGATTCAATGATTTCATCTAAGAGACTTAATAAATGTTCAGCATTTGTGCATGCTTCTGATGGACTTTCTAGCTTGCTGGGATTCAGCTGTAAAGCAAGCATTCATTAGTTTTTTAATACAATTTGATGGCAGCTTCGTAATGCTTTTTGTGTGTTATTAAATGGCTAATCAAAACAAAACCAATTATTTTCGAAACATGAAGAAAAGGAACCTGTTTTGTACATATAAAACAAATGAAAGCAAACTGTCACATTTTATATAGAAAAACTCATGAAGTTTTTAAAGAATTCTGTGCTCCTTGAGTCCAAGCAACACTAATTAACACTTATTAAATATCAATAATAACACAAGGGTTTCAAAGTGTATTATTACTGCAGTTTATATCATTTTTTTTACATGAAAATTTTTTACAATGTGAGCGATTTATTTAAATTATGAAATTATAGCTATCTTCTTCATAAAAGTAAACATAAAAAAAACTAACTTAAAAACGTATATTGTTAAATAAACCCTACTATTTTCTGTTTTTTAAACCAACTGTAAATAACTGACAAAAAAAAGAAAGAAAAATTATGAATTAACTCATTTTCTACTCAAAATACATACGGGCCTCCAGTGATAATTAACAGGATTAACTGCAACATTGATAGTATTTTTGCTTACATTTTCTTGTAAAACTCATGTTATTAAGGATCCTGTAACCAACAAGTCCATGGACCCATGAACCATTTGGTGCATAAATAGTTTAGACAAAAAAAGTGTTTAAAAAGCTGATAAGGTGGACCCCCATCAGTAAATCTAGGGTTAACTGACCTTTTAACTCACACCACACAACTTCTTTCTCTCTTGTTAACTTCTATTCTAAATTTAATATCTCACTTTCTATACTAATTTCTGTTGTATTTTAGCTTCTGTAGATGACTTAACTTCCAAACTTACTTCACATGACTGTCTACTCTCCATCACTTTTTGAATGGACTCCTGAAGGGCCTGCTGTAAGAAGTGGTGCGCAGTGGACCTCATGTATTGATCCATCAATGTAGTTGTTAGCGACGCAACCCGAAACAATGTTGAGGTCTCATCTGTTCATTACCATGGTAAAACAAGTCAACAAGTGCATTAAATAGCATCAAAATACAAAAAAATTAGAAAAGGAAGTTAAACCTACCTTTCTCTAACTTTCACTGATGCAAGGCCAGATTAAAATGTTACATTAACCTGTTATTACTTCAATAATAATAATACCATAGTTCAAATGTTTCATTTCAAAATACCACAACAATAAAACTCTTTTATCAATAACAGAAAATTTATTTTGTTTGATAAAAGTAACATATAATAAACAGACTCATTCATGAAAAAAATCATACTTCCTGCAATTCTATTTCACTTTCACTGATTCACTTGCACGCATGCTACACATTCTAACTTGTTTGTTAGAGTTTAGACACAAATAACACATACTTTGAAACACAAAAATACTTAGATACAAATTAATTATCGAACCTTTTTCAATTTTTGAAAACCATATTTTGAGAAATTGGATAAAGCTTTTGAAACAAAAGCTAAAGAAATGCAAATCTAATCAAATTGAATTCAGACAAAAAATGTTGAACACGTCTGTTCAATATAATGCTGAAGAAAAGAAAGAAGTTATCATGATGGAAAGTGCATGGGGGGGGGGGGGGTATTGTGCTAGGAGATTTTATCAACCTCCTATTGGTTGAGGACTTTGTTGCATAATGATGCCATCATGCACCAGCACAATTCACATTAAAACCTGTGAAATTAGATGAGACTGCCTCAAAGCTAGTAGCATGCAAATCTTGTATGCAGATGCCCAAGAAAGATAGCCATAGAGATGAGTTATCATCTCAGAGACCATATTTTGATTAATTTGCCACTTACATTATTTATCTCAAATGCTATAATTTTCTTATACCGATAATGTATTTCCGTTAGGTACTTACCTCCTCTCACATAAATAACTATTCTTTTTCAGTACCGCTTTTTATATTCAAAACATTTTTCACATTCCACAACCTTGAGCTCCTGCATACTCCAAGATCAATGTAGTTCAACTGCGTCTAGTATGCAAATCATCATGCGACACACCCTCCTGATGCACGTGACTCCCTCTATTCAACTCTAAAGAACTACCACTTTATGTTTTGGCAGAAAATGGAAGCAATGATTTTCAATGGGGAGGAAAGGTGGGAAGTGCGAAAGGAGGTAAGTACCTAACGGAAATACACTTTTAGTATAGAAAAAATTATAACTTCCGATATGGTACCTTACTTCTTCTCACATAAATAACAAGAATACCACATTAAACAGGTGGAGAGACCAGTGAGAGGGAAAGAAAGAAGCATCCATCAAAAACATCCAAAGGACACCCTAAATAGTAGACCTTGCAGTAGAGGATCATACGTGGGAGAATGCACCACTTCTGTACTATGATTATTTTTTGCCCAGTGTGGAAAGAGGTGTTGTGGACATGGGCAGAATTGGGAGGGACACATCAAAAAGGGAGAATACAATGATTGGATACGGATCTGAACCACATGATATTGGAATCTTTATCTCATAGAGTACATCAATGTGGGTGAGAGTAAAAGGATGTGTTCTAGGTGTAGAGTGGCTAGGGCAAAACAGACTTTGCACAGCAAGTCAAATGCATCCAAAACCCAGCCACCGAGAACCAACATCCACATGGAAGTAGGATCACACCATCGGTAAGTTAATTACAATTCACAATCCAGCCACCAGGAACCAACATCCATGTGGGAGTAGGAAAGAGGATCATACCAGCAACAAGTCAACAACAATCCAAAACCCAGACATCTGGTGGGGGGTAGGAAAGAGGATCATACTGTCTTCACTTCAAGTTCAGCAGACCGGAGGTAATCTCATACCCCAGATATATGAACAGGTCACATGATAACAATGTAATAAATTGTTTGACTGATCCAGGAACCTAACATCTGGACAACTGGTATAGTAAAGACATCTCTGTAATGTAAACTATCTCACTCAAAACCAATCCGACAGGAACTGCCCCCAGCACAATAATGTCCTCAGTATAAGAAAATCATTGAGGGATAGCATAAGAGGAAGAACTGTATTAATCTGAAAGTTCCACCACCATGACCCACAACACAGGTGGAAGGAACAAGAATATAATTGAGTGAAGAAACAGAGACACCTTTAATACATGTGTGAGGACTTATGTTGATTGGTTCAGCTCTGAATCCAAAACCCAGCCACTGGGAACCGACATCCATGTGGGAGTAGGATGAGGGATCCCAACTGAAGGGGTGAACAGCAATTTTGACTGCTCACTCCAAAGGTACAACATCCTCTTGGATAAACCTGTACAGAGATGGAGCATCAGATTGGAGGAGATTTCATTATCTACACCAGCAGAACACCACCACCCTACTCTCAAATGAATAGTTTTATCATTATTTGTATCGTATATCATTATTACATTCAGGAGGATGCCTCCGTTGTCCACTACTCCAGTGGTTTGGAACTGGAAAGTGGTAAGGACTCCCATACTCCACTAGAAGAAAAAAGGGGGGAGAAAATGCAGTGGAGAGTCCAGAGGAACATTAACACTAGAGACAGTGCAGCGGGAGACCACGAAAACCTTATTTTGAAAAGCAGACCACTCCTGATTTATTCAATCTAAGGAATGGCAGAGATGGGCAGCTATCCCATTCTGCTTTACCCATGAAGTCCATGAATTAGCACAGTCCAGAACGAGCATATGAATGAAGCAAACAGATAATGAGGAAAACCTACGAGCGATCTTGTGGAACACCCCATCTCAACAATGTGCATTTAGTGGCCATGTAAATTATAACTGTTAAATCGTCATGGCTTTGCATTGCAGATTTGACTAGTTTAAGTATACCTGGACAGGCACCACTCACCACAGAACAGGATCCATAAAGAAAAAAACAGAAAAAAGGACATGTTCCTGAAAAATAATAGGTTTATATGCAAAAAAAAAGTATCTTAGCCAGTCACAGTCTCACCAAAGAGTGAAGAATGACAACAGGCGAAAGACAGTACCCTGATGAGAAAGAAACAGCTACCCAAAGCAGATAATGGGAGATAAATGTGATGCAGGTAAAAGAGAAGGGGACTAATCAGAGTGAAGACACCATGAAGTGATTATGGGGAAAAAGGAGACAAGGAAGAAAAGACCAATCGAATCAAATGCCAAATTGAAAGGGTAAGGGAGGAAGGAAAAAAAATAACAAAAAAAGGAGTGGTGCCAGGATATAAAACAGAAGGAAAAGGAACCAATGAAAAGAATCCTTGAAGGCAATGAATCAATCCAGAGTAGGTATGGGACATAGAAGGACAACTATATCCGACTGGGATTAAAGGTGGGAGATGGAAGGAAACAAAAATGAAGAAAAGGAAGAACATGCCGCATGAGCTGTCAAAGTTTTTCTATGATGCAGTGATTGTCCATATTAATTTCTTTAGTCATCACCATTTTCATAACAGAAATAAAATACAAAATAACATTCAATATTTATTACAATAACAATTATACCTAAATAGGTGACAGATAAAATAATTTCTGAGTCTGCCAGTATTTGTAAATAAATGTTCCCCTGTCACACATCCATTCTTCCCAATAAGTATGCATTTCAGCTTTAAAAGTACAATTAACACTGATGTCTAAAGGCTGTAACAGTTTGGTAAGACCACTAGGTATAATTGCAGGTGTTATGTTTTTGGTCTCTAGTAGATCCTTGATGTCTTCAGTGATGTGGGCCCTCATGCTGTCCATGACCAATAGTGCACAATTTTGGTGGAAGAAGCCTTCTGGTCTTTTGCTGAAACAGTCATGGATCCATATCTTCATCATCTGGTTGTCCATCCACCCTTTCTCGTTGCCTATCACTACAATACCCTTGGGAAATATGTCTTTTGGCATGGTTTTCCTTTTGAACATTATCATAAGTGGTAACTTGGTTCCAGTGGCAGTAATGGCAAGGACTAGAGTTAAAACTGGCTTTTTCATGGCCTGTGGTCATAATGCTGACAGTTTATGTGCCTTTCTTCTCTACTGTTCTGTTCAATGGCATGTCAAATGTTAATGGTATTAATAACATGATCATGACTAATGTTGAAGGTTGAAACTTTATCTCTAGAGTACTTTCTGAATGATGAGAACTTTTCTTCATGATCTGCTGGTAAGGACTGGCATATTGTTGTTCTAGCACATATTATCAGGTTCTTCCTTCTCATAAAATGAAGACATCAGGATGGTTCTCTATTGAAGTCAGTGATCTCTAATTCCTTTGCTACGGCCTTTAACTTTATCTGAATGGTGCTTACTCCAGGGTTTACTGAACATTCCATGACCCACGTTTCTATATTCTCCTCCAGAGCTGGCTACCTGGCTTTGTGTCCTCTGTTGGCTTTCTTGGTAAGATGCAGTTTGTCTTCTTGTTTTCTCCAGTCTCTGACAAGCTTTACAAAAATGCCATAATGGCAACCTGTAGCTCTACTGCTATTTTCTTTTACATAGCTGATAGCCTCCAGATTAAAAACTGCTGTGTAACTCTTTCTGGTCATAACAGGAAGCATTATGAGCCTGATGATTGGGACAGAAAAACAATTTATTTATGGAATTTTTAGCATTTGGATGCTTTAATTATTGTTTAACTGAATAGATATTCCAATAAAATTGATCATTTACATAAACAAAGCACAAGCTGAAAACATTTCACTAGTTTAATCAACTGATTGACACATTACCTAACACTCTCAACATGGTCTCGATCATTTATCCTAAATACTTACTTAAATAATTCATCCAAGCTAGTCGTTATCTTTCCTATGGGAGCGAAGCTTGTACTGACAAAGAAATTGCCAATTATCTGTTCAGAAAACAACGTAATACGTCATTTGATAAATGAATACTTTGTCCTTCTATTGGTTATAGATAATATAGAATTAAATGTAAGAGAGAACTATTCACACATCCTGAAAGAGAGGATGTGACAGATGGGTGTGGAAAGAGGGATCTGATTTTCTATTTGATGGCTCTGTAGCCAAACAAATTATGGTTTGTCTTAGGAATGATGATTTTATAGTGAGTAATTTACGTTTAATTTCGTACTTATTGGAGGGGTGGTGGATAGAATAGAGAAGAGAGAGTGTCTAAAGAAAATGCGTCACATGTGTCACACTAGGGGAAATTCAGGATTTTGCCTTTGTTGTTTTTTATATGATAGTAAATCATTTCTTTTCAGCTGTAAAAAAAGAATAAAAATGTCATATAGCAGTAGGCTGAACTTTTTAAAATCGCAGAGGTGTGACCTATAAAGAAGTGTGACTTGTGTATGTACAAAAACTAAAAAAACCCCTAAAAATCAGCCCTACTACTAATTATAAAGGTGCAACTTATAATAAGGAAAATACAGTAACTACAAACAATAATCTTAACATCAAAATATTCAAAAAGCTATAACAGTATAACAGCTTATTTGTCCAAAGTCGGTGGACCCAAATGTGTGGGCCACCAAACTCGAGGCCTGATGAAGGTCAACTCATATAATGATCAATCTCCCAATGTATCAAAACTGACAATTCCTCAGTCGAGTACTGTCACCTGAAGCCTAGGAAATTGTACTGGAAGTAAATTATAACAATTTTAAAGTGGAAACATAAGCTTCAGTGTGAAGAACAATAAAGATAAGTTGTCACTTAAAACAAGTAAAATGAAGTAGAAAAAATAGAAAATATCTCCACTTCATACGAAATTAAAAAAAAAACACAGGAAGAAAGCACAAACAAAAAACATCTTGATGATAGCACTGCCAAACGAGAAGTGATAGTTCAGTAGAATCAAACAGAGGAATTCACATACATCAGGAAGTGTCACACTTCTATTGGTGAGGGTTGTCGCATGATGATTTGCAGGTGAGATGCAGTGGAACCATGTTGATCTTGAGGTACATAAAAGCTCAAGGCTTGTGGCATGATTAAAAAAAGGTTGCATATAGATGGCAGCACTGAACGATAATAGCTATTTATGTTAGAAGAGGTAATGTACCATACTGGAAATTAACTACATTTGCATGTATAAAATATTACCAAAGGCTGACTGTAAAAATAATTTGTCATCTCATTTTATGGATCATAAATAATTTTTCCAAACATTAAATAAGCACATGGAATGTCTAACAATACTGCTTGAGTCATTTATTGTTGTGTGAATGGTTTATTCTTAGTTTAGGATTTTATCGTATTATGATTAATTTTTAAACTTTTAAAAAGTTGTAACAGATTTTTGTTTAATATTAAATACATTTAGATACATGCTAAACCAAACTGATGATGCTTAGCTATAATCAAAGGATATTGCCAGGCATGAAGATTTTAATTTGGTACACATCTGGGTATTATTGAAGTGCAAAAGTTTTAATACAGTTTATTCATTTAAGAAACTTAATGTGACAAGGACATTCTGCTAAATTTTATTTCATTAATTTCATTCATAAGATTACTAACCTTCATGCTCTATTTCCCTGTCATTCATTGTCTTAAGTAACATTGCCTCTTTTTTTTCAAACCTGAAAACTCGTAGAACTGCTGTAGCTAAAGGTGCTCTGTCACGATGACATATATCAGCTAAAACACTGATAATCTCTAGGTCTTCCTCAAGAAGCAACTATAAAGGACATATATAAATACAGTTGAGCAAATCTACACAAAGTGGCAGAAAAAAGTTATGTAGATATAAAAAGAAAGTTAATGAACTTGAATGGGATTCCAGCTTGGGAGCTTAAATATTGCAAAACTTGGTTTCATTTGACTAGTTTAAAAACAATTTTAATGAAAAACAGATATATATATATATATATATACATTCTGTACAAAATAGTATTTAGATTGTAATAAATTGCTAACTGTTCAATGATAACAAATTCCTAAAACTGTTTATTAGTTCTACATATACGGTAAATTAAAAAAAATTAATAAACATTTACAAAAACATTATTATAGATGTGTCAAAAAATTTCAATTATTTTTATTCAATACTAGGAGAAAAATAAGAATGTTTTTTTGTTTTAAGTAAAGCCACATGGGACTATCTGCTGTGTCCACTGAAGGGAACCGAACCCAGGATTTTAGCATTGTAAGTCTGAGACTTCCCACTGTCCCAAAGGGGGACAAAATCAGGCTGTATTATATAAATAAACCAATTATTTAAAAATTCTGCATATTTCAATCCTAAATTAATGTACTTAAAACAGATCTAAACAGTTTTGGATATTATACATCTCAGAAAATTAAAGAAAATATGCTCTTTAAAGCTAGAAGGAGTATTAGCTTTTGCAAACAATATTTTGCTCTTACTGTTAAGTCTTCTCATGCTATATTTGATTATTGGACACATGAGAGCAATCACAGCATTTTATAGGGAAAAAAAACAACTTCAGAGTCTAAATTATAAGTGGTAATTGGAACAAAAGGACAAATGTATACTAATATATGTATAGTTCAAGCTACCTCTTTTAAAGCATCATATTCTCGCTGTGGCATAATAACCTCATGCACATAACGAGTCCTGACTCTGAGAGAGCCCCAGTCTTCGAGGACTGGGGCACTGAGTCCACTAAGAGGGTACCAATCTTCAACTTCTTCTCCACTGACTAGTGTAGTAAGGTCCACAGACATTTCCGCTAAGAAAAAAACATATTTATAATAGCAGAGCTACATATGAAATGTATCTTTGCATACAATATAAGTTCAAGTAGATGATAAAAAATGTTAAACATGTTATAAACATTTATCTTTGTAAAGACAGAAAATTTCTATAGTTGATAAAACAATTATATATGTGTATGGGGGCTAAAAAACTTTTTTCTATATTACGAACTTCTTTTTCATCCAGGTACTAGTGCTCTTGAAAGTTTGTTGTGAAGTGCAAAGTTACACAACAGGCTATCTGTGCTGTGGTTCCACTGTGAGTCTCAAAACCAGATTTTTAGCATTATAAGCCCTTACAGTTATTGCTGAGTCAATGGGAGGAAGCTGCATTTTCAGGGTGATCTGATTTCCCTTGAAAATTACAAGATATTTATTATGAAGTAAAATAAAGAAATTGGATACAATTGTATAAAAATACAATAAGCATTCTTCATTCAAACACAGTATATATATATTGGTTTCATATGATAGTTGATTTAACTGAATCTAGATTACTTTCTCTCCAGACTGTCTTGGTTGAGATGATGTTCTAGACTGACTAAACCTTACATTACTTAATTAAAATAGGCTTACCCAGATCACATAATGCTACCTATGTGACTGATCATTCCCATTTGAAAATAACGGAAATTGTAAACTCAAGACATCACCTGAGCTACCATTGGAGAACACTAAGTGCAACTTTACACCTGTCTCCCATGGGCAGACCAGATGTTACCTTAAAGGAATGACAAAGAAAAAATGCAACTAAAGTGAAAGTAACTCAATGGCTTTCTTAATCATGTGTTATGTGAAGAGGGCACATACACCTGAATAGCTGAAAACTGTTGAAAACTTCTATATTAAAATAAGTAGGAAGAAAATGCATAGCATTCCTGCATAACATAAAGGAAATAACACAAACATTCTATAAACAATAACACATGTATAAGAGCACTGTTATGGTTCTTAATTTGTGTGGATTATTGAGCACTATTAAATATAAGCAAAATCTTGGCATATAAATTTTTAATATAGCACATTTTTTTATGCACTATTCTTAGTGAGATACTACAAGTATAATCATGGTTTAAATGGTATAGCCTCTTTAGTTCCTGAATGAGAGATCTAGGTGGATTAAATATAGCCACTGAACAACAGTTTTTGTTTTTATAATTTTCGTGCAGAGTTACACAAGGGTTATCTGTACATAACTGTCCCTAATTGTGTACTGATGTACTAGAAAGATGGCAGATAGTCAACAACACCAAAGTGCAGGTCTCATTTTTTCCTGAAACAGAATTTGAACCATAAACCCCAAGATTCACAGTCTGGAAACACTAACCACTTAAACACATCTAGTTTCTGGGTAAAAAAAAGTATCATGTATCCAGGACTATCATGCACAGAAATAAATGCTATGGAATAGATGTGAGTACTAAGTAAATACTGTGTGTGTGTGTGTATGTATGTATATGAAATACATTGTTATATACATACATATAAAATGTGAATTCCAAAAATAAGTTAAAATATGTATTTACCATTGCACTATTGTTTTTGTACATAAGAGTATACAGAGATAAGTAATTCTACAAAAAATATTAACTTTATGCTAAACATACACAACATACCAAAAACAAGCACTGTCAACATAATATATCATATCAAAAAATAGGTCAGATCTTTATCAGAGCCACAAAATAAACACGTTTTGTGAGAATTACCAAATAATAGCTGCAATACTGATTTCTTTTACCATTCTGTCTGATTAATCGAATAATAACTGATAAATTTGTGGAGAATTTTATAATTCAATGAAAACCACATAGAACAGACAATTTGTGTATACACAACATTTTAAATATAATGCCTTATATTATAAAATGCATGATAAAAACCTTGTGTATACTGGTAGTCTACTCAATCTTACTGTTACTGTGATTAAACAAATAAGTAAATGAAAGTCCAAAAGCTTATATTATGTAACAAAATCTATACCACAACCAGCTAAGAACTGCCATTTGGATCATTGTTAGTTTAATATTGGAAAATGGCTGTGTATAATTTTTGAACACACACATTTGTTTATTCTTCTTCATTGCAAAACAAAAACAACATTGAGGCTATACATTTTTACAACTAAATTTAGCTTCATAGATCAGATTCGAAAATTAACCTAGTAATTAATATTTTTAATTTAATATACTATTCTAACTAATCTAATTGATCGGAATGCTATTAGATAACCCTTGCTGTTAGCAGTACTTTTGGCCATAATCCCAATAATATCTCACAGAGTTTAGCCAGCTTAAAAGGTTTCAGCTCACCTTAGACAACAAAACCCACACCTTAACTCTCTCAACACGTGCTCGGTCAATTTGACCGACTATGTGATCTCTTTGTACTCATTTAAAGTCTTTATAGATTTAATACTTCTAACTTTCAATATAGTTTGTATATCTTCACAAAATTTGGCAGTCTTTCAGTTAATAAGTCTTTCACATACAAAAAAATCAAATGTTTTAGGGAAGTATTTTTAATAAAATAAAATATAGATTTGTCCATGAATATATTGAGTATTTGTTTTGAATAGTTTGTGTGCAAAGTAATTTTCATGTTAAAATTAAAAATACTTTTCCTCATCTCAAAAATCTCAAATTTCCTTTGTGCAGTCCCTAAAACCTCCTAAATGCATTTCAAACGTATTTTTTCAGTAAAACTTTTTAGTTTATCTGTTATTTTCTCTACCCTATCTCACAACAGGATCAGTCAATTTGTAACCAAAAAAAAATTGAAATAAACCTAAATTACCTTTTTTCTTTTTAGAATGACTTCAAATTGTAACATGAAACCACATTCATTTATCCTAAGTAGCTCTAATTTGTAACAGTATACATCTATTTATAAATAAATTTTATTGTTTTATTGCCCTTTGAACTATCTCTAACTACTAGCCGCACAATTATAACTTGTAAATCACTCGGGGAACGTGCAGCTCACGTTACACTATCAAATTACATTACCCACGAGCTACTACGAGCTGCTCGCGTGTGTGCCTCGTGAACCATTTTAATTATATTACTATTATTATTACATATTTTACCTAATCTAGTCTTAAATAACTTAAAAACATCCGTATTTTTAGATTTTAGTTACTTTTATAGTAATCAATAAAGAATAAATATGGAAAACAAGAAATAAAGTACTTACTCAAACTTTTTTTTCTTACTGTTGAGTTCTCAAAGAGAGTTAACCTTAATTTTTTATACTATAGATAGTAATGCACTTAATAATTTTTATTTAATTAAATAATATGACAAAGAATATAGACTAATAACATGTAAAAAAGTAGACAAATTCACTTACCTCTCAAAATTTTCCTGGCATTCTAACTATGCGACAAGAGCAGCTACAAATTCATCCAAGCTAGTTGTTCCCATGAGAACGATGCTCATACTCTGAACGAAATTTACATTTAACCATTCAGAACATGATGTTATGTAATACGTCACTGATAGATGAAAACCCAGACTTTCTATTGGTTATAAGTAATATATAATGAAATGTAAGAGAGAACTATCAACGTATTCTGAAAGAGGATGTGACAGGTGGCAGGAGGAGTCTGATTTTCTATTAGATAGCTCTGTAACCAAACAAAATTGAAGGCTATAAAAATTATGGTTTGTCTGAGCACTAACGATTTTATAGAGAGTAATTTACATTTAATTTCGTACTTTTTTGAGGGGTGGTGGATAAAATAGGGATGGTGACATGCTAAGAGAAAATGTGTCATGTGGATCACACTAGCGGAACTTCCAGATTTTTTATAATATTGTCTTGTAAAATTAAGAACTTAAAACTTGTATACTATTAAAATATGGATTATTAGTTAAGATTTTATGCTATTCTAATTGGTATAAAATAAACAAAAAGTAGTTTAATAAAATTTTGAATGTAAGACACTAAAACCTTGTGTCATGTGCAGTAAAAGATACCCATGGCGATAGGGTTAACTAACTGAGAATTGCAAACCCCAAATAAGCTTTTGGTAACAAAACTACTAAAAATTAATTGGCTTTCTAACTAGCTATAAATAGGTTAAAAAAATTCTTTTAGCCACTTGAAGAAGAAAAATACAAATGCAAAAAATTAAACCGAGGTTACACATAAACTTATGGACAGCAAGACAAAATAACCATACAAGACATCTTGTACAGAAAAGCTGCTCTTTCTATTGGTTACAAATAATCCAACAGCAATGTCAGAGAAAAGTAATGGCATTTTTTGAAACACAGAATACATTGGTGGTGTATGTCATGTGCACTTTTTTTGTTATATCTCAGTAAAGCAAGAAGATTGAAGGTTCTAACTTTATATTCTGGTTTTCAAAATTTGTCTCATATAAGTTGAACATTCAGAAAATCATATAAGGATACAAAGAAAACTTTAAATGGTCAATGGTCAGAGAGCAACATATGCGACAAATAGATATGAAGACTGAGAATTTATTTCAAAATGTACTTTTGAAATTAAAAATTAAGACATAGATAACATAAAAATTTTAATAATAAACTATGTTTTAAAGCCAAGGTTACTGATATACATTGACAATAAAGTTGTTTGATTAAATTTTCAATGTAACTTTGTTAAAATGTCATGAAATTCTTATTTTGACCCTTCTATATGCCTATGATTAATTCACTGAAGGCATTTTCTTCACTTGTTTTTTATTTCTTAAACTTTTTTTCTTACAAATTGTTCACATTAACTGTGTTTTTATATATTGTGTATATCTTTTCTTAATCATGTTTTATTTTCTTCACTTTAATCAATACCTCATAATTTTTGTCTTTAGTTTTTGTTATACTGTAATTACTACATTTTTTAAATCTTGTGCTTCCATCTTGTGTAACATTTTTTTCTCGTGTATTGTATTACATTCAGAATGTCCTGCAGTAGTTTGTCATTAACTGACAGGCTTGTTTCTGGCTTGAAAAAGTGTTTTCTCAAAACTTTGCCAAAAAATAAAACTAAAGATTTATCTCCAAAAGTCTAATTTCCTTATTTTATCATCTCTGCATTTTTTTTTTCACTCACACAAATATATTCCCCCCCAAAAAACAAGGAACCTGACTCAAACTACAAGGACAAATGTATAAAGATGCTAACAATAATAATTTAATATATTAACACACGCACACACACACGCTAATAGTAAAATCTTTCCAGATAAAGAACAGACACTGATAAGTAATACATTAAAAAGGTACAATTACAATGGAAGCATACGAGTATAGATATTTTGAGCACAACTGTCAAACTATGTTACTTGTTTCAATACTAAATTTTGAATAAAAAAGTTTTTCCTACTTACCAATTTCTATGTCACTTGACCTTTTAGCTTTATTATACAACGTGATACAAAAGGTTCTAATGTCGGATGGAATGTCTCTGCACAAGAAATGTAAAAAAAAAACATTTTATTCATCTTTCTTTCTAATCATCACACCAACTACATTTGGTAAGTAACAGTTATGAATTCATACTGATTTAAATTAGAATTTTTAACAGTTGCTATAATGCAGCATTGGGAACAATGAAAATTAGAAAACAGTTGAAGCTAAAGTCTAATTCTAAATTATCAAGTCTAAAAACCTGAATACTTGATATCCTGTATCCTTTAAATGTTACCTACATAACACAAGTAACCACACAACTTAGGTGTTTTCTAGTCCACTAAAACAACAAAAGTTTAAAATTTTTTGTAAATAATAGTCATGGACCCACAAACAATTTAGTGAAAAATCTTAAAATATCTGTTTGAAATGTTAATACAGACTGAATTTTTAAAGCAACGTGAGACAGCAAAAATCTGTACTTTCTTTGTCTATAGTGATGTAAGTATGAACTATAGATCAACTTTTTGAAACTGTATAAAGCATCAAGGCAAGTTATAGAAGTATAGATGGACAGAACTATGACTTACCAGGCACAGTAATTTTGAAAATCAGAGATACAGGAATGATTTGTTTAGAATTTTGCACAAAGCTACTTGAGGGCTATCTGCACTAGCTATCCCTAACTTAGCAGTGATAGGCTAAAAGAAAGGCAGGTAGTCAACACTACCTACCACCAACCCTTGGGGTACACCGTTACCAATGAATAGTGGGATTGATCGTCACATTATAAAACCCTACGGCTGAAAGAACGAGCATGTTCAGTGATGGGAGATCAAACCCACGACCCACAGATTGCGAGATGAGCACCCTAACCACTAGGCCATGCCAAGCCCTGCATACATGAATGGTAAACTTTAGGTTACAGATCAGTATAGTCATAGAGCTATTCATCTATATTATTTACATTTCCACATTTATGGGTATCAGAAATTAAAAAGTCAGTATGCATAATCTTAGTTTTATTGAAAATCTATGAGGGATAAAATAAAATAAAAAAATTGATTTTCTTACAAACTTGTTTTTATGCCTGTTACTGTAATGGGTACTGGAATCTTTGCTTGCACCAAAATCATTCCGAGAAACAGATTTCTATCTTAAAACCATCAATTTATGTTTGACTTTCTCTGCCCAAATATTCTCATTTCAAGATGCTTAGGAGTGTTTTTTTTAACAATAACTTAAATATACAGGTTACGTTAATGAAGTTTTTGTCTGGCTTTATAAAACTGTTCAGTATTACTACTGACTTAATAAGGAAAAAAAAACTCAGTCGACTATTCTTACAGCATTATCCTATGGTCAGTATTCAGATCTATCATAAAAAACTGTTAGATCAGTATGAGTGAGAATTTTTAAAGAATCTCAATAAAATTCCTTTAACGCCTTCAAAATGTTTAATAAGTCAATATTTACATCATAACAAAATAGAATAAAAGTTAAGGAATCCTAGTTTCTTACATTGTATTCTAATATTTTTTTCTATTTGTGCTTTGAATGTACAGAGTTTGGGGCTATGTAAACACTGTACTTACATAAAAGAAATCATTGAGATAGTTACTATATGAAATATACAGATAGAAAATAAAAAATTGATTTTACCCAAATCACAAGCAATTTTTCTTACTCAAGAAGGAAATCCTCTTCCCAAATGGGGTCAGGGGGACACTTGACTTGTGTGCGGCAAACTTTGACCTTGTCCAAGGAGATGATACAAAAAGGATGTGGAACGAGACGGACAGGTAGACGATGAGCTTCTAGAAGAGTCAGATGTAAACTTCGAACTTCAGAGACATTATGACTAGGCGCTCGTCCTCGCTGATGTGGTGCACATAATGGCTTAATGCTTTGAAGCCATTGCTAAATGTTAAGAACCAAAACTTTGTAAAATTATTTTACTTGGAAAATTCCAAATAATTCTGAAATGAGATTTTCTTTTCACTATTCAGTTTAAGCTCTCTCTTAAACTCAGAACTAGGTATAGGCCTTGGCAAAGGAAACAAAGAATTGTTAGAGTTTTACTGGAGATAAAATGTTAAGTTAATTTCTTTCTTAACAATACAAAAAAAAAAAAAAGATGTAATGAGCATTAAATCGATTGGTAAAAATAATAATAAGAGTTCAGCCTTACCAGAGCAGTGTCAGGAGAACTAGCACAGAGGTAATATGTTGTGCTGATGCATGGTAAAGCTTTTTCAACAAGCTGGAAACAATTGGGCCTGAAAAAATACAGCATACATCTTGCACCATCTCTGTTTGTAGCATAATATTTTAGAGATACTGACACTATTACATTATAAAAAAACAAAGAAGCCTAAAACCACCAAAGGTAATAAGTTTTAACTATTTTTTTGCTTTAATTATTTAAATCATATAATTATCTTTAAACCCTTTAGGTGACCCCCAGTGGCCCAGTGGTATGTCTGTGGACTTACAATTCTAGAAACTGGGTTTCAATACCCGTGGTGGGCAGAGTACAGAGAACCCATTGTGCAGCTTTGTGCTTAACCACAGACAAACAAACAAACCCTTCAGAAAGAATCTTTACACTTAAGATTACAATGTAGTGCGGTTCAAATGATAATAAAGTGGTCAACTGACTCACACAGTATAGTTTAGTAACTGCATTAATTATTACTAAAAACAAAATATTTAACTGTACTGCTTCTAGTCTACATAATATTGATAATCTTAACTTCTTTACTAAGAATCTCACTTAAAAATGAAATGAATGTAGAAAAGTTAGAAAACTGAACTTTGATGGTCTTATCGGGGGGTGGGGAGGAGGTTTAGGACAAACAATACCATGGCTTTAACAAAATTTAATACAGACAACAGTAGTTTAAAATTATATAAAAAAGCTCTTGTGAATATTAATCAGCATTTTTTTCTACTTCAATCAGTTTCTGTTGTTGGACATACAGTGCAACGAATATATGGGCACTAAGGTTTCACATATTATTTAGCTGTGTGGATCATACTAATAACTGACTTGAGTTTTATATGGCTTGTAAGTAAGATTGTACTTTCCTCTATGTATGGTCAGTTTGTTTAGTAACATTGGTTATATTATTCATGATAACTTTGAATATTTAAGATTTATCTTTGGTTAGTTACATTAATATGATTGGTATTAATGTTTATAACAAAATGTTAATACTTTTAATGTTTTAAACTTATGAAGATTATTCTGCATTTTCGGCTTTGAGTATGGATTTAGAACTAATGTAAATTTCTCAAGAACATCTCGAGATATTATTGGAATTGTTACTAAAGGTTACCATATTCCTAAACTGAAAATGTACTTTTTATACCCCATTCAATTGCCCTTGGTGATATTTGTCTCCTGATACTCTCCACCTACATCAATACACCCTCTATCCTGGTACTGTATATAAGCACCACCTTCAGATAATTTTATCACTTTTTCTAGACTGACACTATCCCTGTCTATTAGTGGAGAGGAAGGGTGGGAGAGTGTCAGCAGAGGTAAGTATTATTGGAAATACATTTTCAGTTTAGGAAAATGTTAACTTCCAAAACATACTTACCTCTGCTGACACTTATAGTTCAATTCCCACATTGAGAATGTGGAGGGGCTGGTGAGGGCATTATCCATACAGAAAGCCTCTGGACAGATCATGGGTGTACCAAGATAAGATTGGTACCCAAGTGGGAGAACCACACTACATCCAGAACAGGTATGCTCTTCACCATGAAGTTAGTTCCTGTATCAAGGGTGAAACTGTACATGAGTGATCGTTATTATATGCCAGCCCCAATCAGATAACAAAGGTTCCGCTACTCAGGGTTGGAATTAAAAGGTCTTGGTCCATATATCCGACATTGGTGGCTAGGACAATTGGACCACGTTACATATATATACTATTGATTGAATCCCAAAAGAGTGATGTGTTCTGAACCACCGGAGTCACGACAAGAAAGAAAGTAACACCGAAGCGGACAAACCTTCCCCTCCACCTGAATAAGCACAAAAGGCAACACCCCAGGTTCGGAATGGTGGAACCAAAGGAACAGAACTCATCTGGTTTGAAATTATGAACATTCATCCTCACTCCCCAACCGAGTGAGCATGGAGCATTCCACTTACCCCCAGATGTGGAACAACTGTGCTCAACTAAGGACCCAGGATTGGACCACTCTGCAATCCATGAACCAACTGAACCAATATTGATTAAAAAGAAGGGCGATGCATATCTCAACCAGATAGCTGAGGGTCAAATCTGAATCAGTATTTCAAGTAGGCTCCCGCATAGGTTGGTGCTGCTCTTACTTACATCTGGAAAAAACATCCAGGGGCACAGGTAAGAGGGCTCACAACTTCACCCTCTTCTCCAAGAGTGGTGGAATTTGCTGTAACACTGTGGAGGAAAAGCCTATGTCCACCACCCCAGTGACTGGAAACCAGATGTGGTAAGGACTCCCTAGTTTCACTAGTAGAATCTGGGGGGTAATGTGCACTGGGGAGTCCTGAATGTCCTGGAAACACTGTAATAGATGAACCAAGTACTTTAAATTTTTAAAAGCAAACTGACCAGATTTATTCAATACGATGATTGGCAGGGATGAGTAGGATTCCATTTAGCTTTACTCCTGGTAGTCTATGAGTGGCGGTCCACCATAGTATTGTAATACCACCTGGTGAGCTCCTAGGTGGTCTTACAAAACACCTCATTTCTACAGAGCTTGTTGCAACCAGGTAGTAATTAAAGTGAAATAGTGGTTGCTAGTGTGGAATTGGTTTGATAAAAGCAAACCTGTCTGGGCAACATTCACCACAGAGTAGGATCCTGTGAAAACAAGGTAAAGGACCTTAAAATGTAAAAATAAATATACTCACCCCTCTGGATAATCTAGCAGAAATGGTTAAGATAGGTACAGGGGGGTATGCAAAAAACCCTCAAATGAAGAGACTACTAGATCAGAAAAATACTGTGAGATAAAGGTACTGGGGGAGGTTCACATACAAGTCTGTACAATGACTTCCAGCGGGCAATTTCACCAGTCTGCTAAGGACATAGAAAAGAGAAATCTGATTAGATGTGACCTACAGAAGATATCTTGTCTTCAAAGAGAGCCCACAATAAAAAGAGTTGCCTAGTATCTCTAGAGGTATAAGCACAGACAACAAAACCTTCAAGACCTTCACTGAACATGACCAAGAGAAAAGGACTGAACCCATTTCCTGTTGGACAGAGTGTTGGGTAAAGAAGAACTGATCTGAGGACATAGAATGAGAAAGTGGTCTGTGAACAAACAATGCAAATCAATCCAACTGATGATGTCCACAGGTCAGCAGCCATAAAAAATAAACCTGCAGGTGAAGGGGATACATGACTTATAAGAGTCAGGTCACAAACAGATGTAGAGAAAGAATACATAACCTTAATCTACCTGGTAGGTAACTGGAATGTTCATTTGGGACCAATTACCCAAAATGATGTGAGGAATTTGGAGAGTACTGGGGACTCAAAAAATATATAGTAGTAATAATCGAACGGTTGTCAATAAAGCTGCTGTAAACAATGGCGACTGTGGAAGATACATAAACCTCTGTCACAGAGCCAAGTCAAAAACGAATTATGGTTGACATTACTGAGTGAAAGGGTTTCAACCTCTTCTCAATACAACATTGCTGATATGCATGCCATTACCATTGACAAAAGTGTCTTTTGGAGTAAGCAGAAACTGAGACAGATATGGCAGAAGCTTTAGCTTCTGGATAGCCAGATGTACCATATCATATCATGGCTGCCTCCACAGCACGAGTCTAAAAAGAAGTGGAAGAGTTGGACACACCTTAAGGGACTGCAGAAGCAGAAACTCGAGTGTAGAAGACAATCTGGTGCTATCAATATGATCTGACAATGGGTTGGAACAAATCATATTTCTTATCCTGGGTAACATATGAAGTGGAGAGAAGGTTTAGAGTGGTAATCCCATCCTGTCCAGATGGAAAGCAGCTATTGCCAAAGCCCAAAGATGAGGAACTGGAGACCAAGTTGCCAGTAGTTGGATGATCAATGAGGGACCAACCCACCAGTTAGAGTTGTAAAATGAAGACCAATCCAATAAAACCTTGCTATGCAAAATCTATTCTGTTGGGAAAATCTGTTTGGATGGAGACAATAGACCTGCTACCACAGGCATCACCCATGGAACATGGGAAACTAGAAGGGTGATAAGATAGGATTAGTCCCGAGAAAGGAGGTAAAAAAAAAAGGAGCCTTAGACCACATACCTCCATGTTGAGAAACATAAGACACCACCACGGAATAGTCAGAGGGAAGCCTGATAATTTACTTCTTAAGAAGACCAGACCATGAGGCCTTGCCTATTGAAGAGCAAGAAGGACGAAAACATTGTGTACGGAATCTTCATCATCTGTGCATAGACTCTGGAATTACTGACTGTTGGTATATGCATCCCATACTTGAAGCAAGGTATTCATGAAGAGAATGGAACTCTGGATGAGGTGGCAGTAAAGAAACCCAAATCATAGTAGTGTCCCCACTTAACAACCCCTCAAGATCAAAGAAAGATCCTGACTAAGGAAACTAGGGTAAACCAGTAAATAGATGTGTATGATCCTTGATCGCTTAAAGACAAATAAAAGGATCACTTGTATTCTTGTCCCAAAGACACTAAGGATTCAAGTGATGCCAACATTCCCAGAAGAGAAAGAACCATCCATGCAATTGGAGAAGGAGAGGTGAGGCAACTGTTCTATAACATTGAGCAGGATGGGAAACTGCTGAGCCCAACTGAGAGATAAAATGAAAAATAAAAATACCCAGACTGATGACATATTAAATTGGAGCAAGAATATATGTCAAATTCCCGAAAAGGGAAGCCTGCCTGGGTTGTATCTGAAAGTAAAATCAGGATGTGATGATCTAACAATTGACGAGATGGTGCCAGTAGTATCCAGTCATGGAATGAAGGGGACGAGAAAAAAGAAACTCACGCAATATGGCAGAACCCATGTGAAGCCTATGCAAGTCCAAATGGAAAAACCTGGAACTGCAGTACCTGACCCTTGCACACTACAAATGTCAAGAGTGGTGAAACTCCACTGCTAAGGCAAAGTGCAGATAGTAGCTGACTACAACCAAGTTGGACATCTACAATCCCAGTAAAAAAATTAAAACAGGTTGAGAAATTAATATCTTGTGAACCTTGAAGAATCTAGGCATTGATATAGACAAGGAAGATCGATGACCGGACACCAATCTCCTGTCTGCATAGGCCCAACAACTTATAGCAATAAAAACTCTGAAGAACAAAGCCCGACTCTCTCACTACCCCCAGACCAACCAAACTCAGATAACCATAGAACTAAGTTACAAGTTCTGATGAACCATGGGAGATGGAAACCCAAAAGATTGGGTGGATAAAAGTGGGGAACATGTAAACTGAACGACTAATTGTGAGCCAAGAACCTGTAGAGCTCCTGGACCCATGGATAAGGTTAACACACATCCAGAAATTCTTGGAACTGAACCCCCACATCTCCTGAAAGTATACAATAATCTCCGATGCTGCTGGTGATCCGGCTAAGCAGTGGAAACCTTGGATATAAACAGAATCTATTCTGAGTACCAATATAATGAGGGGTTGACATCAGCTAAATCACGAAGTTCCGACAATGTGTCAGATCTAGCCTAACTGTCCATTCACATAACTAAGAAGTAAACCTTCCAGCATGAACCACTATATCCATGTATGGAGAAAAATTTTGCTCCCAGACTTTTCAGCCATCAAGTAAGTTGCAGGCTCAAAAGCCACCAGGAAAAAGCCCAAAACCTCACACTCTCGAAAAACCAACAGAAGAAAAACAAATCAAAGGCAGCTTATCCCAAAGTTATTTAAACACTGTGTTGCTTACCATTGATTGAAACAGCATTTCTGGAAGTAAAGTAAGTTGTTTTGTTAGAGCAAAGCAACTTCCGGCCATCTGCCTCATCCATTCTAGGGAATCAAACCCCGGACCCCAGTGCTGCGAGTCCATAAAATTACCATTATCCCACAGGAGGGCTGAAACTCCAAAAGACTAAAAGAAGGTACAGGAAAAAGCGAATTGAAAGACTCTCCAAAATGTCGAGGAGCGCACTAAATTGCAGCCTCAGGGGGCACCCCAGAGGACCACCACAGATCCAAATATATGTCTCAATTTCACACAAATAAGATCACTGACAGTCTCAACCAATGCTTAGATGGGCAAAAAAGAAACCTTGGTGGTCGAGTAATAGCTATAAGTATCAGTGGAGGTAAGTATGTTTTGGAAATATTGTAACTAGTGAGTATACTCAACTGATGAGTCAATGTTCATTAATCATTACATGATTTTATTTTTCTTATGAAATAAAACAGAGGAAGACCTAATGTATACACCCTTGATAAAATTATTCATTACTCTTGAGAATCAACTCTTTAACAGGCTCATAAAATATCATTAATTTTTTTTTCATTAAATTGCAAAACCTTTTTGCCCTGGATAAATTAACATACTGTCCATTCATTATGACAACTTAATAGTTAAGGCTACAAATATTATTTGAGATAAGCATGACTTTGTAATTTCATACATTGTCAAAATATTCTATTCTAGAAACTGTCTATAACAGTTTTAAAAGTTTATCATTTAGTATTTCTATCAAAAAAATTTTAATCATTCCAGCTGAAATTTTACCTACTTTTTTTGACTGGTAAAATTTAAAAGGAGTGACGAGAAACAATGTGTTGTCGAAATGTTTCTAAAAACTTCCAAAACAATGTTGCTTACAGTCTAAGCATTATTTCACAATCTGCTTTGTATAAATGTTCAGCTTGTGCTGTTTGGTGCTTTGACTTATTAAAAAAAAATCTTTTAAACTCAAAGATTGTTTTGAAGCATAATAAAAAACAATTTGCTAAAAAGTAACATCCAAAATATACTCCAAAGAATTGAAACTACTGAAAACATTTTTAGGTTATGCTGAACATTAAAGTATTCATAACTGAAAATTGGGGAGTCAATCATCCTCTGTTTTCAGTCATGTGTACATTGTTTGCATTTTGAATGAGTACACACATTTTCATAAATTTGTTACTGGGAATGGCTTGAAATGAAAAAATATACAACATTATCCTTGAAGATCCTTAATATGAAGAATTTAAAATTTTGTGAGAGGGAACAAATTTCTTATTTAATTAGGGTTTATAAAGGGCCCCACAACAGATTAGTTAGCATAAATACATTTCATGTTTTCTTGTTCAAGATGAATGTATCTTTAACAGCATCAACAGGTAATTACTGAATGACATGCTTGAAAGTCTGCATCTGTTTAAAACTTATTACAAGTGCCTAAAAAATAAATTCTTATGAACAAGTCAAATTACTACTCACCTTTCAAATAAACTATCATGTACCATGTATAAATAGGTGTAGCTAAGGTCAATCAATCCCTTAGGTTTTGTTCGCTTTAAGGAAAAAACATGGTATTGAAAATAAGTTTCCCAGCAAATAACCAAGTTAATGCCTCAATATAAAAGATACCTAAAATTAAGAAATTGTTTTTTTTAAAGTATAATTTCACATACAGCCACATTTTAAGAAAATGGTTTAAAAAATAAAATTTTAATAGCTCTTCATTTGACAAATTAAAACATCTGTCAATAATTTAATTATAATAAAATGAACGAAAGTGTCCACACAAACACTACTGTGAATAAGCACCATTTGATAAAAGATAAAAAAGTAATGAAAGTTTTCAATACTCAATATTAATTCTATAGAATGATAAAGAAAAGACAAAACTAATTAACTATTCAATAAGCAAATTTTTCCAAAATATTAGCAGTTATTCAAAGGACAAAATTTAATTGATCTTTTAACTTCTGGGTTAATCATTAGTGAAGTATGCAAATACTAAATAATTAACTTAATACCTTATCCTTCTATAATTTACATTTTATGTCTACAATACTTTTGAATTTTTTAAAGTTCTGATTTAGAAAATTCTAATTCCACTTGAGGCCAGATGCTAGATTTGACATGACATAGTACTTTTTGTAACTTGATCAGTAAAGGAACTTGTCTACTGTCTCAAGGGATAGTTGCATTGTGTCCTATTTGACCTTGTGTTTGGAAGATACTTTGCAACAGTCACATGAAGTACAAATATTTCCACATTCTGGTATCCATTTTCTGATTAGTCAGCTACAGAGTTGATATATATTGTGAATATAGTTTGGGCACAGTCAAGTGAAATTAATTTTGGCCTCTAAGGGCACTTAACTTTTAAATACAGTTCATTAGGTTTTTTTTCTCTAATTTCATCACAATACAATACTCCTTCACTTTGAAAATCAGCTTTTAATCTTAAAGTTTTCTTCAGTTTATAGTGCATTTATTTTTGCTTCAACTTTACAATGAGTTTTGTCTCTCTCATACCACCAGTAAAAATCATTATACTTGCCCTTCTGCTTTCTATGTTCTTGTTTTTGTGAAGATCAGGTAACTATGTGCTAAGTATAACCTTAAAAATTCCCAAAGAGGATATTTGAAAACATTAAGTTTATAATCCATGAAAAACAAAAACTTAAAGGATGAACCTCCTTTTTTTTGTACTCAAGTATTCCTAATGCCCCTAAAAGAAAGAACTTATTGTAGGGGAAACATTATTCCTCCAAAGCATTATGACACCTAACATAAAACCCACAAAATCTCAAGTAGAGTGACAAGGAAAAATAACTTTATAGCTTTATATAATACAATTAAAACATGCATTAAAATGTATACAGTGCCTTGAACACGTACTGTTGAGACAAACTTGAAGTCTTAATGGACTAGTTAATACATTAAGAATATAGAAGATGATTTTTAAAGAATGCTAATATGAGAATAACCATGTTTCGTATAATATAAAATCTCTAATAATTGTTTTATAGTAGTAATTGTTTTGAGCCAAATGTAAAATATAATTTCAAATCACCTACTTTGGGGTTTTCATAGTAGATTAGTTGTTGTTCCTTAGCTTGTAGTTCAAAGTAAAGGTTTTTCCATTTTTTGTTGCTTTGACCTAAAGTTCATAAATAAATTTCAATTCTATATAAAAATTTCAATAAAAATGTAAATTTTTAGAACATTTTTACCACACAATCACTTGGATTCAAACCTGCTTTATACCAGATAGATACTCATATGCTACAAACCTCAGTTTTCTACTTTACTGACTTGTAGATTGAAATCTGAAACATGTTGCACTTGAAACACAATAGTTTTGCTGGTTAAGATAGTTGCAAGCCAGGCCACAGGTTCAAATCTTTCTCACTTACTTTTGACATCTTCAAGAAAGCTACTAGAATCCTAGTATGTCATGCCACTGTTCTATAGCAGTAATGTAACAAAAATTTAAAAACTATTACATAAAAATGTGCATCAATAATAATAAAAAGTATCATAAAGAACTGAAATATTTTTTCACTTACTTTTTTTATTTAGATAACCAGTCATGCGAATATCCTTGTTCCGTTTAGCTGCTCCAGACTCTCGGTTTTCTCTCAGAGTGGCATAAATGTCTTGGGATTTTCGTTGAACTTCTTGAGCTTTGCTTAATCCTCGTGATTCACATGGTGTCTGAAAGTATGTGCAATAAAAGTAAAAATCTTGAGCTATTTCACCCTTATACAATGAATAAAAGAACTATACATTATGATTACAGATCAAATGATAGTAGATGATGGCTTCCAAATTTACCATCAGGATCTAATTAAATATGCTTGCTTTATAAATTATCCAAGGCGTTTAGGTGAGTTTGATAAAGTATATTACTTAAGTTAGTAAGAATAAATACCAATGCAATAATCTATTGTAAGTAGAAAAGTGCATCACAACTTGCTCACCTAAAATGCTTGTAAGCACAATTTTGTTGTGAATGTCAGTGAAAGCATAAACACTGGAAAAATTTCTAGAACATTAAAAGTGCAATCATATTAAATGAAACTCTGGAATCCAAATTCTGGTGAACTACTTTGAGGACAGTAAAATATGGTACATTAATCATTTGGTTTCTCTTTGGGTTTATTTATAATTACTCTACTTTTTTTTATCTTACTTGGTTTTTTCAGTATCATGCACGAGTCTTTAATGACAATGCTAAACCAAAATATTAACTCTTTCTGATGCCACAAGCAAAAACAAAAGTGGTGAGATTAACATGTTTAGCACCAACTGACAGTAGCATTCTTAACGTACTTTAGCTTCACATTATATTTTTTCTAAACTGTTAATGTGTCTTTAACTTTCAACCCAAGCTTTCTATAATTATGATTTATGTGAGGATGTGTGAACAATTGTTTTGAAAAGGAATTCATGAGTAATACATGCAGATTCCTCAGTCATTTAACCAAGTTCTATATTAAGTTGAAAACTTTGTATTTTAATCTAGTGTATTATCACATGGCAAAACTTACCTTTAAAACTGGATCACCTAAGGTGTGTCCTTCAACTATCTGCTCACTTTTATATCTGTTAATGACTGCCTCCAAGCTGTAGAGATACAGAAACATAAATATATGAATCAACAGATAAATAACTATGAGATGTCAAATGATGCAAATTTATTTATAAGTAACAAAGAACAAATATGTAAAATCTTATCTAAACTTTTTAATTTCAAACAATTTGAAGGATATTTGTAACTTGTAATGGTTATCAAAATCACATATTTTGGTCTAAAGGAGACCAAGCTCAGAAGCTTTTATGCTACATCCAAATGTTATAGTTGTTTGAATTATCATTTCTGGCCTTCTTCAAGTACAGATGTCTGTAAATTTCACTCTTACAGTTTGTGTCTATCAAGTTTAACTTAACTGGCTAACTAGAAAACACCTTATTATTATGTTATTATATTCAGTTTCATCACTAAAAAGTGGAAAGTGTTCTTTTTCTATTAGTAATAAAAAAAAAGAAAATTATTTACACGATAAGATTGAGTTTTAAAACAATACTGTCAGTTGTCCAAAAGACAAAGAAACTACTAAACTAGGAAAATATATAATGTTAGAATAATGTTATTATCCTGCTTGTAAGTAAAAAAGTAGCAACATTATCTAAGTGGCAGGAGTATCATTCTTTTGAGATACATAAATAAAGAGGAAAGTCTAAGGCGAAACCTACACAAATCATAGTTATAGTTACACAAATAATTTCTAATGAATAGATACATACATAATCTATCATATCAATAAGCTTTATTTTATCTTGCAATCTTCTAGTCAAAAATAAAAATAAATCAAAATTTATATCCATTTAAGGCATATGTTAATTTCTATAAACAAATATGAACTCTATGAAAATCTTTACTTTTATGATACAAGTTTTTATTTCATTTGTTGTAACCATTTGAAAACGTCAAATATGGTTATGTATTAGTTGAGTGGTATGCTGTAACTTTTAGGAAAATATGAAATTCAATCGTTTTTAAAATTTAAGAAATTTATCTACAAACCTGATAATCAGCTCATTTGTAAGCTTAAACTAAAAGAAAATAGGGGGATAATTATTATTATTATGCAGTATAAATGTTTATTTGATAAAAAGCTCATACTTCCACACACAGAGTTAGTATTTCATTACCATATCATTGTGAGATACAAAACCAATACAAAAGTCAACTTTTTTACCTGTCAAAGCATCTTCCTCCCATTAAATATCTGTTTCCTCTGTGTTCTATGCGAAACCTCTGAATGGTATTGTTGATGTGGAAAAACAAAGAATAATTCCCAGGAGAGTTATCAGAAGGCCTTACTAGAAAGCTGCCTGGTCCCACTTCAGGAAATTCAATCATGAGAAATTTAAACCAAAATGAGGTATCCGTTAAACAGAAAATCATCACATAATTGTTGAGTTACAGGATTGAACAAATTTTTGTTACAAATATTAACTTATAAAGCATATCAAAATCAGCGTTAATTAAATTAAATAACAATTTAACAACTAGCTTAACGTGACGCAAGAAAGAACTTACAAAACAATAATTACTTTTTTGAAACATGAATAATGAATAAAGGATAATGAAATCTAGTATTTATAAAATAAACGTTTCAGTAAAAACTAGAAAAAAAGTAGTTTATGCCTTCTAGCTTATTGAAATAGCAGTGGCCACGATAAATATAAACTATAAGTTTGTGAACATTATTAGGAGAAATGTATATTTAAACACTCTACTCATTATTTTCCTGTCCATATTTTGATTATAGTTCACTCTTAATTATTCTGCAACTGGCATTTAATATTTTAATCCTCTCCTCAACATCACTTTTTTCTACATACACACATGCAGTTGATTACTAAGCAGAACAGGAAAAATATTTAAAGTTAGGTAAGGGTTGCAAAAGTTTCACACACTATCACAGTGGTTCTCAACCTTTTTGAACCTATGGAACTCTTCTGGCATCAAATTTGTGTCCTTCACATAATTCATTACAAAAAGTTACTGCAATACTAGCAACTGTCTGTACCTAGTCTCGCTCAGTAACTTAAAACAAGGTAGTGTTATGTCGTTATGAAAACCACTATACTAATAAAGAAATATGATGTAGTCAGATTACAATTATGTGACTAGTATGTATTTACGCATTAGAATATGTGGAACTCTTGCATTCCACAGCATCTTGTGCAACCCCAATACCCCATGGAACCCCTGAATATCTGTCGAGTAACCCGAGAGTTCTGTGTAACCTCAATTGAGAAGCACTGCTCTATTATGACAGGGCTAATGAAGTGTCAGCAATTAGTAAAATTAATACAAACAGCCTGTATAAGGAGAAAAATTAAAATTGTTGGGAAAGAAGTTTCCTGATAATGAAAAGTAATGATAGGTTAAATGTGTTATGAACTGTCAACAATAATATAACTACTTTATAAGCCTCAATATTCAATTGTGCAACTTCACCAAATTTTTCTGTGTTCTATGTCTTAATTCAGGTTAAATGTTGTTAAAGAGATGAATGTTTAATGTTTTGAAGTTACTGCACAATCACATTTAAACAAAACTTACTTTTTATTTAATTTTAGGTTGATACCTACAAGTTATCTGTTATAAATTTCTGAAAGCAGTTTCTTCAAGAAAACTGCAGTAAAAATTTAAAACAATTTTAAATATGTCTATATCTAGTAAAAGATACATTAAGAATACAAAAAACTGGCAAGCTTCTTTCCTACAGAGTACAAATATGGTAGTCAAGACTGACTAAGTCGTTACTTTTGCCACATTTTCATAAATTAAAACTATACACCAATATCATGGTGAACTAAAACTTCTACTGAGATTTGTTTAAATGAACATTAACAAAGAAAAAGAAACATACTTTTTGCAAGTTTTTCAACAGCAGCTTCTTTAGTAATATTTCCATGAAACCAAGGGTAGATTTCATTAGCATCAACATTTTCCTCCTAAGAAAAATAAACATTACAGAATACTAAAATTGTCAGAACCAAAATTATTTGTAAATGTGATATCAAGAAGTTTCATTTCTTAAACAATAAATACAAGTGCAATTTATTCACTCAAAGGACATAGCATGTACACCAAATTCCCTCAATAAATGGTACATTTATTTTCACTCGGCTCTTTAGATTACACCACAGCCATGCTTTCTATTCCAATGTTTTTTATTAACCTTTTTAAAATATAATTTTGTTATCAACTACATTTTTCTTAGAGATTCTTTTTTTTATTTAGGAATATAGATGATAGAAAAAAAACTATATTAAACTACATCATTTATATTTTAAAATCCATAGGATTTAGTTTGCACTTTTATGTTTAGCATCTTCATACGATAGTAGGTAACTCAAATTTCAAACTGCAGCACTTAACTCAGTGCAAAGTATAATACAAGGTGTGTCGACAGTGACACTTCTCCCTTCAAAATATGACATTAGTCAAATAATGCTAGAAATAAGTATCAAAAATCATGAAGATCTAAGTAAATGCAGTTGACATTACACTTCAAAAAGTTGTAGCCCTTTAAGAAACAAGAATTATAATGGTAATTTTGAATGTTAGATCGGTAATATCATTCTTTTAACATATGAATTTGTTTTATTGGCATAGTTTAACAGATGTATCTATATAATTTTACACCTCATAGGGATTTATTTCCCTAACCAGGTGTTTTATTTGTCAAATTTCATAAGGTAGCAAATTGGGTATGTGTATTTATTATATATGTACACATTTTTTACAGTCAATTTTTACTGTTTTAATTTAAATGAACAGCTTTGAATGCACATCCATTTATGTTTGTATTATGATTCTTAGAGGTCAAATGATTCTGACTTTTAACCATTAATTTAAGTAAATGCTTAGAAGAAAAATCCATTTTAAATAATTGAGAAATATGTATAAAAATGAATATTAGAAATGTTACACATTATGCGATCGTAACTTAATCCAATAACAAAATATATTTAAAAAAAAAATAAACCAAACGAAATTACCGCTGAATGTGATGAAATCAAATTTTTTTACCATTCATGTTTAGAGACATCACTGTTAGTAATTGAATAATCAAAATGAAAATCTAAAAGAAAACGAACCAGCTTCTCATTTCTGTTTTGTGAAATTTCTTGCAATGCTACACATGTTTATCTTCTCTAGTCTTCCCCAATTTTGAAGTAATAGTTTAAAGGGAAGGTAGCCAGTCAACATCATAAACAACCAACTCTTGGGCTATTCTAATCAAATAGGGGGATTTGACAAACACTCTTACACCCATATCCTCAAATTGCAGAATACAAATCGTTTTTTGTTTTTTGCCAGTAACTAAGGCAACCTACAGAACCTCAGATACACAGTTTGCCAAGCTAACTACTGGGCTGTGCTTGGCCCATTTTTGTTTCTCTAAGCAAGGTAAATTACACATTCTAATATTCACTCTTGTTCACAGAGTTTAATACACTGGTAAATGGACCCGTATATTTTTCCTAGAACCTTACGTATTCCCACTGGTACATTAACAACATGCTTATAATTCAGTAGCTAGATAAAAAATAAATGAAATACATGCATTAAGTAACTAATCAACTTTCTGTCTTCATGAACAGCTGAAATAGTTGTAATTTAACAAAACATAACATTATTAACATCACTCTCACATGCATTAAGTAACCATTTATGAGAGCTTCATCAAAGACTGACAAAGTTTTAAACTTACCAATTCTTCTACAAGTTCCTCAAATATTAAACCACTTTCTTGTGTTCTGTGAAGAGTTGCCCATAGCCAGCCATCACCAATATCATTATGTATAGTGAATATATCTCCTTTCTGAAAACTATAAATGTAAATAGTAATTCTTCACATTTGGAACAACAAAGAATGAATGCTGAATTAAAATATTTGGTTACTGAGTTACCAAAATATATCACTCTAACTTTAAACTTTGTGATGCTAATAAAAACATAAAATAAACCTTTTATTAGAAACATACTACAAGGCTAAATTTACCTTTTGCCATCAACAAAAATTGGTTGATCACTGTTAGGAAGCATTATTTGACTGGTTTATTTCTCTCAGTTAAGACTGACTACTGACAAACATGATGGACTGCATACTGTTTCAATGATATGAAAACAAGTAAAACTCCTTATTGCAGAACTTGAAATTAAATTCTTAATACAATTTTGATGATACAAAAATAAATAAAACATGCTATTGTTGTGATGTGAATGCCTTTCACAAGATGGTGAAGTATGATTATAATTAATTATACTTGTCATAACACATTAGTATCAGGACTGTTATATTTTTAACACATATTTCATCCAAAGAGGCTTCATTTACCTTGATCCTCTTTAACTATTAACACTGCTTACTGTGAAAACTCTTTTTAAAACCCTGTTAATGAATACGACCTTGCATAATTCTATGCTAAACATTTCTAGCTTACAAAACAAATCACAGTTCGTTTTTAATAAAATATTTTTGTTTTCATTTTACTTGAAAATTATTAAAATAGCAAACTATAACATCAACTTACATGTAACACTGCTTAATTTCAATCATATATTAGAGCCACTTTTCTGTGGTATTTATAATCATCATTTTTTTATTATATAAATATTTTAATCTGTAAACTTTCATCAAAATGGAAATTTATTAAATCAATTTATGACAACTGTTAGTGTTAACTAAATGTTATAAAATTACATGTTAATCTTGTCATTAACTTTAATGAAATAGTGGTTTGTTTGTTTTTTTCACATTCCTTTATACCTTTATTTTGAATTTTTAAATATTCTTGAACAGAACAAAAAGACAAGTGACCACTGAAATAAATAATTTCTAAAAGTAAAAATCTGAAGATAACACAAACTCTTGTATAACCTTGAATTATGGTACGTACCTGATTTCATCTGTGTCAGGCATTTTGCTATAGGGCAATACTGCAACAACTCTTTTTCTATCATTTACAGGCTGCAAGGATAGAAATGTTATTCATAAATGTTGAAGGTTTCTTCCATTAAAACCATATCATCTCATAATGATTTAATGAGTATTTACTAACCTAAACTATCAGCACTCAGCAGAATACATTTCAAAACCTTACCAACAAAATTATTAAAGCTCAGTTTAGCTTACACATCTATTTTTAGCTAGCTAATAAATCACATCTCTTGCACATCCTTTATGAAAGTTGAATAACATTAACCAAAATAATTATGAAGAAAATCAATTAAAGTTTATAATCACAGAAACAAAACACACAGTTTTTAGTTTAGAAAACTGAGGTCTTTGACAAATTTGACTCACATAATTTTAATTAAAACCAAACAGACAGTATGGTTTATTTTCAAATATACATTACTTCCAAATGTAATACATCTAAAATAGTAATATTACAGGCTACAAAAAAAAAAATTCTAAATCCAAGTTCTGTCTAACATGATCATCTTTATAAAATGCTTTAAGAATGAGCTTTTTTACTTTACTTTTTAATAATGATTGAATTCAGTTGACAGTGTCTCTTTACTCTTTCATAAAATTCTTCAAACAAATTGGTCCTGAAGATTTGTTTCAATAATATCTGAACCAACTGACTGATACAAGGTCAGCTACTATAGCACCAACATTAAAAATCAAGCCAGGTTCTATTATTAGATGACATAGTAAACAAATTGGTCCTGAAGATTTGTTTCAATAATATCTGAACCAACTGACTGATACAAGGTCAGCTACTATAGCACCAACATTAAAAATCAAGCCAGGTTCTATTATTAGATGACATAGTAAACAAATTTTGCAAATCCAATACATTTTAAATAATGTTTTATACACTTGTCAATGTTGTAATCCATTTCAAAATATTGTATTTCAGATATGAGAAATAAACACACTATAAGACCTCTCATGAATGAGCTGGAAAAAAAGTAAAAAAAAAAAGACAAGCATTATGTAACAAGTGCTGAGTTTAAAGCAGAACATTGTTTCTTTGTCTCAGGACAGCACAGACAAGTTTTATGATAAAAACTTAACAGTAGCTCACAGAAGAAAAAAAAACAACTAAAAAAAACATTGAAATGATTACAGTATTCTAACTTGGAATAAACACTTTTGGAAAAGCAAACCATTAACTGTTACTTTGTTTCCTGAACTATATTTGCAAAATGTGTTTGTATCTCAACTATACTTTTCCAAATAGTTACCTCTGGAGGTGCCACAGGATGTACAAGTCGCTCTTTTTTTAATAGGTCAGACCAGCTAGTATAATAACCAATCAGATCAGACAACGAATCAAACTGTCGACCACCAATATAGTAATCTCCACAGACAGCTGTAATTCTACATGAACATCAAAATAGCATCCTTTTTAATACACATGTAAGTTGAACAAACTAGCACAAATAATGTGGGCAGATAAATATAAGTGTATGTTACCAGAACAACTAAAAAATCTAGTGCATTTGTAAGGTTTACTTTAAATAACATCCAAGTTACAAAATTAAACATATAATAAATGTAAGATCACAACAGTTTGTAATTTATTATGGTGATTTTTAGGAAACTGCAGTTAAAAGAAAGTAAAATATGGATTTATACTCTTTTTGCTATGACAGTACAGGTTCTTTAAAAATGAATTTCAAAAGAAATATTTATATATCAAACAGTTTATCTCATAAACTTATTTTTCATACATATTTAAAGTATCATATATAAAACAGACTACTTACAATTTTATATTTTTAAAACAAAAACAGGACTTTATTTTATAAGGAAATGAAAATTAATGAAATATCTAACTCTAAACATTGCATTAATATTTTTTTCTACAGATAATAGAACCTTTCAGAATTCTGAGTGTAGAACAACCCCCCCAAACACAAAAACGGAGAAGATCCTTTCCTAACAGTCATATAAAGTTTAAAAAAGTGACAGCTCTCAAAATATAGCATTATTCAATCATGTCTTTTTTATGTTTATAGATGATCAAAGCAAGCTACCTACCTAGAGCGAAATTAAAAATTAGCATTATAATGAGTATAGCCAATTTTATATACATTTCTTAATTCCAAAAATCAGAATGCACCATTTCATCAGCTGGGTAGGTACATTATGTCTTATGATGTAGAAACTGATACAAAATTATGTTGCCATCAGATAGAATTCCACATTTTCTTGGAATTAGAAGTATAATACATCAAAGTCAAATTGCACCAAGACCCCAAGACAGAGTGTCCGACAAAGTATTTGGTTAGAAAGTCAACATTCAAACAGGATTTGTTAACTAACTATGATGGTGTCTACCTGAATTCCAAAATTCTCTCAGAAAGTAGAGTTACATCTAAAGCATGATAGCAGGGTGGGCCATCCTGCTGCTTTTTTGCTCTGCCCCACTGCCAATTTTGACCTATCTGTTGACCAATTATTAAAATCTCCTGCCTTTCTAATCATATAATTGTAATCCACTATGCACAAGTCATTTATATATAGAACAAATGGCTAATATGGGTATAGAAAACTTTTATTTAATGCAGGAAAGAAGAAAAAACATTTTGACCTCCTTAGGTCATATTCTGGTTAAAAAAAGGAATTTGAAAGTGGTCACATGTCGTGAAAGCGTAACTAAAGATGTCAACTGTGTCAAAAGTGAAATCCCCTGAAGCACCTGGTTACCTAACCTCCAACAGAGCATGCCGAATACAATATATCAAAGTGTGTGCTAATTGTAATTGTAGAAATTTGCTTTGACAACATCGTATTGTCTTTTACAATGTGCACAGCACAGTCACAGACACAAGAAACTGCCTGAAAGTTGAAACTATCCACAAACTATTACTAATCAGGAAGTGTGACAAATACATGGACTTTGAGAGAGTGGTTAAGAGATGGTATTCACAGAAATTTCAGTGTATTGTACTTTGATGTATGTCATGCTAAGATGAAGTGAGAATTCTGTGTTAAAGGGTAGCATAACTGTAGGTCAATTTTGCCAAGGAAAAGGCAGAAAATACAAACTCCTGTGATTAAAACACCAAGCAAAAGCTCATGAAAGCACTTACAAAATGTAGGTTCCTTTCACAGAAAAATTAAAAGTAGCTGACAAAACTGCCTTACACAGAGAAATGGATGAAGGTGCCAAACCTTTGTCAAATAACCATGTCAGAAATCAAGAACCATGTGGCACAGTGGGATGAGAGGCACTAAAACCATGTTTAAGAGACCACTGACAATGATTAAACCATTTCTGTTGATAAACATCCAATAAAGAAGGCCAAATAATGGACCACATTAATAACGATGCCACCTGAGAGGTCAATCCCTGACACTGTGCAATGGACCACAGAAAAGCCAGGCATGAAACCGAAGAATGATGATCACTGGATGAAGAATGTCTGACCAAGGCTGACATAAGAATGATGATCAGAGAGGAAGTCAAAGAGAAGTAGAAACTAAGGCTGATCTGGCCAATATAGTACCACCAGAAAAATTCGACAGGACCAGGAGTGAATCAGTGTAAGAACCTTGCATAACAGATTAATCAGAGGGAATGCGTAAAGGCAAAGACTTGTCCAATCCTGATTGAGAGAATCTATGCCCAAAGTCCATGGGTGAGGGATGGGAGACCAAAAGGGTAGGAGCTGGGCATTCCAGTGAGTGGCAAAGGCATCAATTTGAGGCATCCCAAGACAAGTACAGATCAAACAAAAAACTTGTGGATGAAGCATCCATTCCATGTGAAGAACTCTGGTGGGATGAGATAACTAATTGGCACTAAATTCATAACACCTGGAAAATGACAAACAAGGAGAACAGTGGAATTGTCCAAGTGAAGCATTACAACCTTCCCTCACAACAATTCAAGAGACCCTAACATAGCTCTTTTAACTGCTAAAAGCTCTAAGAGAGTGATGTGGAGAGAAGATTTCTCTTCTGTCTAAAGGCCCTTAAATTCCATCTCCCCAACAAAATCTCCTCGTCCCTGTTGAACCACTAGTCAATATCGAGTCAGCTGGAAGCCCATAGGGTCACCAGACAATCCAGCACAACCATGCAAATGTTCCATTGGTCTCATAACAACCATTGAAGAGAATACATGTAGGCCTGACCCAAAAGAATTAGTGATTCCAAGGATGCCCACATCCCCAAAAGAGATACAACCTCACGCACTGGTGGAGAAGGAGATGACTGCACTAGAAGAAAGGCCCATTCCATGGCGTACAGGAGAAGATTGGGCACAACAGAGACGTGAATTGAAAAATATCCCTAAATTGATGAGATACTGTGTGGGAGTAAGAATATACTTCTATTTTTATGAGAAACCCAGTTCTCACAGCTTCAGATAAAAGAGATTGAGCGTGAAGCTCTGCCAAGTGGTGGGAAGGAGCAAGAAAAGCCAGTCGTCCATATAATGGTGAATGCGAATGCCCAATGAGTTAAGATGATGTGAAAAGAGTATGACTATCTGGCATATACGACAGATGCAAGGCTGAAAGGTAGAGCACAAAACTGAAAAACCTGTCTCTCATGCAAAAAATGGAGATATCGACGTGAAGACTCCGCAATTGGAATATGAAGATAGGCATTGGTGACATTGAACTTTGTCATCCACAGACCAGGTGCAAAGTGCCACCAGAGGGAAAGAAATGACTCCAGGTAAACCAAAAAGGCTGGAGGAAATTATTGAGATGAGAAAGGTTGATGACATGCTGCCAATTTCCCATCTTCTTCAGTACTACAAACAAACAGGAATAAAAACCCTTGAGATAGGCGTCTATGTGCTCTATGGCCTCTTTGTGTAGAAGATCCTGGACGACATGTGCTCAACGACTAAATATAAGACAATCCTTGGGGAGGGGAAAGACAACTGGTATGATGTACAATAGAGGAGAAGACCTGAAATGAAAGACCAATCCACTCACAAGAACCTAAATGACCCACTGATCAGAGGCAAAGGTCTCCTATAGAGAAACGAACAATCTAAGTTGAGCCCCTACAGGACTGAACCTCATAGAATACTCACTGCTGTCGTTGTCAGTACTCCACATGAGCGGAGGATGCCAGATGATGAGGGCAGATCTTCTTTGTGTTCTGAGATAATGTGGAGCCAATGCTGGTGGACTGGAAACCTGAACAGGAGATGCAGGAAACTGTCAGGTAGAAGATCAGGAAAGGCAAGAGGCCAGTGTCAAAAGTGATGAGAGGAGATGGGTCACATTCACCCAAAATTCCATGGAATCTTGAATACCTGCAAATATCAAATGTCAGAGAAAAGAAGCTTCTCTGATATCTCTAAGTGTTGAAGAAGGAAGTCAACCACCCTCAAGAAAGGCATCTCTCTCCAAAAGATCCCAGCAACAAACCAACCAAGAGACCAAGGAAAGAGCAAAAGCTGATAACTGTACCAAAGTAGAAGTCAATAAATGACTAAAACCCTCTGAAAATTGAGCAGGATACCTGTGATAGGCCTCAGACAACAGTTGCAAGGAAAATAAAAAATTCAAAATTGTTGTAAGGGACAGATGAAAAACTGTGTAAGGATCTAACCTTTCAGAATCTAAATATGGGCCTCCAAGTGATGGAAAGCTAAGGCATGGCAGCACCCTCTCTCAATTGATCAAAAAATCTCTGAGCATGCACAGCAATGCCTGGTGAAGGTCGAAAAACTAAGTAATCAGCCAAATGACTTTTCCCCAACAAAGAAAGAGAAGAGTCATAAGCCACAATAGAAATGCTTAAGACATTACAAATTTGATGTACTAGGTGCAAAAGCAATCCAAATTCTCACCAGTCCATCTCTGATCCCCCAAAAGCTTAGGTTCTGAGCTGACAGAAGAAAAATCAGACCTCATATAAGACTCCACCTCTCTGCATATGAGGGATTGGATGTCCTCCACAGAAAGGGGGCCTATCCCCAATGCCAAGGAAACGCTAGACTCAGAGGTGGCAGATTAGGATCACTAGGAGATTACATGACGTAGATGACATGAGAATTGATATCCGAAATGTCTCAGAAGTTTTTTTTTGTTGTTGTTACGGAAAATAAACAATAAACTCAAAACCCAATAAGATGGGTCAAAAAAATTATCCAAAGTGTAGGTATAACTAAAGTAATACAACACGTAAGAGAAACCCATAGCAAGCATGTAAAACTATTCATCGCGATGTTCTGCTGTCCAGGAAATTGGAAAGGAAATAATAAAGGGGAGCTTATATACGGACCTTGTAAAGGGGGTGCATTGATGTAGGCAGAGAGGATCACAAGATTTATATTGCTATGAGCAATAAAGTGGGGTATAAAGACTGGAGCAAATGAGATAAGATTCATATCAATGCTTAGATTGGCAGAGAATAGAAACTTTTGATGATGACAAAACCTTGTCGAAATGTTGTACATTTGCTGTTATGTTAAACTTGTATTAAAAGAGTTTCTTCATTATCCATTCAAGCCATCTCCAAGCATTATTAGAAAATTGCTAAGTCCTGTCATGCTTGTGAAGTAATAGATATTTTCAAAGGCCTGGTGGAACTTTCAAAGAAAAATAGTGCCTAAATTCACAATCATTCTAATGTTTTCACTAGAGCTTTGGAAAGTCACATTGAAATGCATATTTTTAGCCTTACAACAACTCTAAATTTGTGTTTCTAACTTTCATTCTACCACTAAAAATGAAGGATTATTAACACTAGGTCTATGCCTAGTATTAATAATACAGTAATACAGAAAAAGCAAGGAAATGGACAAAGTTCATGAATTGCTCTAAAAACACAAAAATATCTAAAAATATGTAATATGTAATCAATTCATAAACCAGAAGCACCTCAGCAGAAAAAATTAAGGCAATAAAATTTCCTTGAAGAAGGATTAGAAGCAAGATCATATGCAAATATCTCCAAGAACAAGAAGAAAAAACAAAAATTCCTTTCAAAGTTAAATACCATAGTGATAGGATCTTCCTGAAGTATAAAATAAGAGTTTAAAACTTGTGTTTGGACTAGTTGCTGGAGTGGGTAGTATTAAGAAAAATTTAAAAGGCTCTACTGTCAATACTAATAGATAAAGTGTAAAGCATTCAGTAAATGGAAGTATATCATATCCAAATGATTCTTTATTTAGTATTTCTTGCATGTAGATGTAACTTAATAAGGCTTTAAAAGAAAACTTCTTAACAGCTACCTAAAAATACTCATCATATAATGCTATACATTAAAAAAAACTTCAATATAATAACATATTTTGAAGCCACCTTACCTAAAATGATTGATTCCAGTATGACCTAAATATGAGAGAACATACGATCCAGGTTTGCGGTCACTCTCTCGAACCAGATAACTGGCCAGTTTGTTTGTCACCTGAAGCCGTTGTTCAGCTGTATGCCGATCAAGCCGTCCATGATACCATCTAAAATGTAACAAATTATGTTTAATTACACTTTGCATAGTATTCTTATTATAAAAAATAGGTATATATCAAACAACTGTAACATAACTTGTATATTTACAGCAAAGTGTTGAGCAAAACTCTTAACATATTTACCTTATAAATCAAATTTGTTTTAGTCCTTGAAATGTCAAGTATAATCATTTTTGAAGAAAGAAGAGAATAAAAAAACAACAAAAAATTATCTTGAAGTGCCTAGTTATTCCACAGCTACAAAAAATCAAAAGCTTTCATTCCATAGTATGGGGCTAATGAAGTCTTTCTGACAGCTCTAATGGATGCATGGGAATATGCAGAAGGAATAAATATTATGGGAAAATGTACATATGAACAAAAGACTTCCTTACACAAATTTTCATAACAAATTGTAATGAATTTATTTATGATCCACAGCAAAGCTCTGATGTTAATTTATTAAATATACTGTTGACACAACCATTGAATCTATGAAAGAGGTTTCAACAACAACAGAAGAACAGCTCATTGTTCAATTTCCTGTTCTCCATTGTCAACTTATCAAAAATAAGCTTAAGGGACTTGCTGAAACAATGCACAGATCTCCAAATCACTTGATCGGATGGGAAATAATGTATGTCAGTACACCAAAACTTGTGAAAAAGTGCACACTGTTTCACAGAGAACAATCAAAATGAATACTAAAATAGCTAATGTCAGGCCTGGATATCAAATCTATCTTGGAAAGCTGAAATAATCATGTACAATAAATAAAAGTGAAATACATGTCAACGAATTTCCATCTTAGATGGAATGCTAAAATGGAGCTATTCCTGTCTGCAGACAAATACAGAAATGTCTAGCTAATGGTAATACAAAAATGAGTTTTCAACTTACTTTTATATCTTACAAAAATGAGCATTCATCCTATTCAACCAACTCAACATAGCCTTTCTCATCCATATACCTATCCAATAGCTTAAGTTGAAAATAAAAGTATATACCATATCAACCATTCCACAAGTTTTAAATGCAGTAACACAACTAGTTGTGCTAAAGAATAGGTTTGTACCTACTGTATTGACACTTATTACAGATGAACTCCAATATCCAGCCTTACTATTCCTCCACTCATATTTCAATAGGCACTTAATAACTTAAGTCAAATTTCTTAACTTTATGCTCTAAGTTTTTACTCCAAGGATTAACCATATACTCAGTAATCCGTTCTTTGCATTAACCAGAGAATTGTGGACCTATTATATGGAAGGTCAGATATAATGAGTTGACATAAGTGGAAAGAGAGAAGGAATGGTATGAAGTTAAACAAAGATGAACATTTCATTCTCCAAAGAAGGATATTGGAAGCACTAGCTATTGGACATTTGCATTGTGATAAAAACTGAATTAAAGAACAAAAGAAACTGCACTGAAGTACAAATTACATGAAATAAAGTTGTATTTCAAAAGAAATAGACACCCACATTATCAAAAGACTCAAGGTTGTAAATACCAAAAGAAGGAATTTAAGACTTTAAACAGCAAGTCTTAACTCTTTTCAAGTCAAAGACGAACCTGGTTGAAAATGCAAAAACTGTTCTCAAATTTCAAATTCTCTCTATAGTTGATCAATCACAAGAATTCAGAAATACCTCTGACCCATGCAACAGTTACACAACAATCCCACATACACAAAGTAAAGCAAAATACAATATAAGTATTCCAATAAACAATATATAATTTCCATGACTGGATCCAGCTACAGAAAGTACATGTAACATGAATGGTTGAATTGGCATCGAACCTTGACAAAACTTAGCATGTTCAAAATTAATCAAGAAAATCTAAAAATGTACAATTATGAAATTTGTTGTATGGGACAGTGAAATATGTGGAATTTTGCATACCATAGTTTCACATAGAGCTATGCAATTTAAGCAACATAACTGAGATAAGAATGTAGAATAGAATGAAACACCTGGTTTCACAATGATGATTACATCGCTGACCATTAACATGTCTTCTGTCCTCATTGAAACAATGAGAGGGCTCACTTGATGAGTAGTGTCAGGACCTTGGGAGGTAGTAAAAACAAGGACCTGGGAATTTGTTCATCAAATGATCCACAAAACTGATTTGTTGTTGTTGTTGTATAGTAGATTAAGTTCAGTTTATAGTAAAGTACTTGAGTATAAACAAGAAGACAAGAAGATTTTAACTAAAAGTTAGAAGAACAAGAGCAATGTAAAAATCTCGTAATTCCAAAAAAAAAACAATTTTGAACACATCTGAAGACAAGCAGTCCCAAGGAAAGAATGAGCATTTGTTTAAATACTAATGCTCGTGTGGATTACTGAGCATGGAGAGATATGGTCTAATGATGATTACACCATAGGCTGGCACAGTACACATTAATATGTGTAGAGGTGGGAGCTTCATTCAAGCCTTATGGCATATGCAAAAATCTTCATGGCAGTAGCACAAAGTTATCTCTCTATGTTGTGTAAAAAAATGAGAAAATAATTCTGAAATTAAACATTTTCTAGTGGCCTAATACCATTGGTAAATAAAGAAATATTACCACGTAAACAGCTACTAAAATATCCATATATCTAATAACCCTAAGTATTTCAAAATAAACTCCTGAGAGGCTTTGAAAGTAAAAATGTCTATTTAGCAGCAATTACTGAATTGATATTAGGATACGATGGTAACCAAGCTGCAACCCCACTGACACCTGCAAAAGGTCTACAGCAAAAAAAAATATTTTTAAAAACCTATACATATCTTTATAAATGTATGTAATACTACACTGCAATATTTTATGTGAATTGTATTCAACAATGTAATTCATTTAAGCAGTTAGGACAAAAAAAAAAATGCATAGTTAGTTTCTCCAACTGGAAAGTCGAGGAAAAATTACACCTGAGGGTATTTCTTCTCAGCTATAAAACAATCATTAAAAGCTACATGTACATGAATCATCACATTTCAGTTTACTATGAAATATGTAAGAAAATACCTTCTGTAATTTCATTAAGAAACCTTCAAACTCCTAACAAAAGAAATGCAAAAACATCACACTTCAGAATAAAAAGAACTTATCATTACATCTGTACTTATAGTAAAACAAATGGATGTTAACAACTTCCTAATCTGAAAATGTATTTTAAACAGATATTCGCCTCTTCACACAGAACAGCTATATTCCTCACATGTCTGCCTAAGAGACTTGCATGCCATTAAAGTGAAACTAAAAATTCATGTTTGACATGATGCGATAAAAGCCTTCCACCAATAGGAAGGCAATGCAACCTATGCATGTTTAGATGAGGCAAGAAAAAAGGTGCACTGGAAGTAGAGAGGTCAAGTGGGAATGTGTGAAGAGGCAAATATCTTTTACAAATACATTTTCAGATTGGAAAAATGTTATCTTTTCAAAAAGAACAGTTAGATTCCCATGATGAACTGGTGGAGGGACCAGTGCAAAATTTAAACCTAAATTACAGGCCATGATCAGACCATACATTGTGTACTCACTTTGACTTTACTGGACAGATTCTTGCTGCAAGACGAGACAAAATTAGACATTTGAGAGGTGACTCATTACATGGACAGTGTCACCACTGCCCTATTTCTCATTGTATTGTGCTAAACCCAACCATTGAAGAATTCTCCAAGGTCCACCACCCCAACAGTTGAGAACTGGTAAGTGGCAAGAGTCTTCTGTGCTCAACTTGTAGGGGAAGAATTCTGTTGGGAGACCAAGATAAATGTCTGAATCTCCACTGAAGACAGTGCAATGAGTGACCATGAAACCATATATTTAAAAGCCAGTAAGTGTGAGCCAAACAAGTGGATAGCCACTTACTTAGTGCCAGCTTTTTCCATGATATTCTATGGAATGGTATGGCCTGGATTGGACAATTTAGTAAATTTAATACCACAAGAGTACTCTAGTGATCTTGTAGAACTCCCCATCTTGACTGGACACTTTTAGAGCCTAGGCAGATGGTTGGGGCATTTCCCATTACTCCTGGACCAATGAGGATTTGGAGAAATAAGCATACCCTGGGAGGCAACACCAATCACTTGGAAAGATTCTGTCAGACAGAAATGAAAATAATAAGGAACATACTTACCCATGTAAAAGACAGGTGGATTAATGAGTGGAAATTGTGTAGGGAGCTGTCCATATGCCAGCCTGGAGAATCTCATCTATGGTCTGAAGAAATTAAGAAGCAAGAAAGTGAAGAATCTGATGTGAAGAGATGTGAACTAGCCAACTGGAGGACTTGACAGACTCATCCACTAAGTATAGAAAGGAAGAAGTCCCTGGAATATCAAACAGCCTGAAGTAGACATAGAAGTCAATACAGGTCTGAATGATCATAGAAGTGAGAGATAGGAATGAACATGTGGTTACCTTCAGGAGTGGATGAAGTCTTAGGAAGAAAAGACCAGTCCAGGTAGAGGAGTAAATAAGTGAAGTAGAAGAGAATGGAAGAAGCATCAATAGTATAGAGATCCAAATGACAGCAACCATACACAAGAAGTAGGAGGAAATAAGCCTTAAGAAAACAGTGGTACAAAGAGCAAGAAGCTAACAGCTTAAGTGTGGTATGCATGATAGCATGCAATACCACATTGAAGTCCCAGTCAGGCATGGAATTCGGGCAATATGAATGGTGAAGAAGGAAGGACTGGAACAGAGTGCAGGGGACAACAGGAAAAACCACCCTTTTTGGTAATGGAAAAAGTGAAATTCAGTAGATAAGACCACTCAATAGCTAACAATAGTGGAGACCAACGAACTATAGTCGAACAACCATGTAAAAAGATATAAAGGTGGCTCACAGCAGGATGGCCAGGAGGAAGGGAGTGGTGGATGAACCAATGACAACAAAAAAATACTACTTATATTGCCAGACAAAGTGGAAGGTTAACAGGACTTAGACAAGAAGATGGCTATACAATTGGCTCAAAGAGTGATGGATTGGACAAAT